AGCTGCCGAGCTTTTTCGGCAACTCTGACTCCACATTTACAATAATTTACTCCGTTGGTTAAGTTTACAAATGGTTTTTATTTTCACGACGGGTTACAAATGGTTTGAGGCCGTGGCCGTGAACTACGACTCGATGCGATGCGTTCGACGAATCTTTGGACTGAACCGAGAACAGGGCGAAGCAATGCACTATAAGCAGTACTGGCATATGTGCGTGTGTACGGGAGCGTACTGAGAGAGCGACAAGTATAAGCAGTATAAGAGATGATGTATGACTATATGATATTAAGAAGAACTATTATCGGCTGCTGCTCCGAACATACTTCCCCCCGTTGAAAGACTAGGGCTTTTAACAGGATCCTCAACGGGTAGGACGCACAGCTTGTTGACAGCTCGACGAGTGGTTCCAGACGGTGTTCTCAGGACGGCAACTCGCACAGTGCCATCAGCTCCAGCGATGATGTCGATCACCCGTGCTAATGGCCACTTCAACGGCGGCAAGTTTTCGTCCTTTATACAGACGATGTCGTTGACTTGGATCGATGGCTGCGGTGTGCGCCATTTGGCACGTTGTTGTAGCAGAGTCAAATACTCCTCACTCCAACGCTTCCAAAAGATCTGCTGAGCACAGGCGACTCTTTGCCAGCAATCTAGTCTGTTAAAGTTCAGATTTGTAACATCTGGCTCGGGAAACTCCATCAGCGGACGACCAATCAGAAAATGTCCTGGTGTAAGGACGCCAAGATCTTCAGGGTTTTCTGAAATTGCGAGAAGAGGACGAGAATTTATTACAGCCTGGATTTGGCAGACCAATGTCCGCAGCTCGTCAAAACCAAAGAGTGACGATCCCAGGGAGCGATATAAATGCTGCTTGGCCATCTTCACTGCTGCCTCCCCCCGAAGTGGGGTGAGCGAGGCGGGATAAACTTCCAATTGAAGCCATTGTTGATGCAATGATTATGAACTGCATCACGATGCTTCTCGCTCATAAACAGCCGCCGAAGGTCCTCCAACTCGTTCCTTGCGCCCACAAAATTGGTGGCATTGTCCGACCAAATGCATCGGGGTATGCCACGCGTGGCAACGAAGCGTTTGAGGGCACTCAAAAATCCAGCAGTTGTGAGGTCCTTCACTAATTCCAACCAAACGGCCTTTGTTGCAAAACAGATGAAGACGCTGATGTAGCATTTTGTAGGCGTTCGAATGCGGCCATCTGGCTTGTAATAGAACGGACCACAGTAATCGATTCCAGTGACGCTGAATGCAGGCGAATCCTGCACTCGATCCTTCGGTAGGTCAGCCATTATGTGTTCCACAAGACGAGGTCTGGACCTGCAGCAGATGATGCATTTCCGCAACGCTCGAGCAACAGTTTTCATGCCGCCGATGGGCCAGAACTGCAAGCGAATAGATCCCAGTAGAGACTGCGGCCCAGCATGGTGATGCTTCCGATGAAAGTGCATGATGATGGCGAACGTCAATGGATGATCCCTGGGCAAAATTATTGGGTGGCGTGCATCGAAGCCAAGAGTTGAGTGCCGCAAGCGACCACCAACACGAATCAAACCAACGTCATCTATGAAAGGCGAGAGAGATATAATGCTGCTGGAGGACTCCACACAGTTCCCCTTCCGCAGAGCACGGTACTCGGGATGAAGGTGGGCGCGTTGAACGATGCGACACAACAAGTGCGATCCTTTGCGAAGGTCTTCAGACGAGAGATCAAGTGACCTTTTCTTGCTGACGAACTTATGAACATATCCGAAAATGCGCATCATGACTCCGAATGAGTTAATGTGCTTAAACGAAAGCGAGATGTCGACACGCTCAGACGACAGCAATACTCGATGCCTAATTTCCGGAAGACTGAGTTCGGGCGAACAACGTTCAGGCCAGCTACTTCTTTCGCCTTGCAAGAAAGAAGGTCCATTCATCCACAACCTAGACTGCAAGAGCTCCTGAGGCGCTACTCCCTTTGAAAGAATGTCAGCCGGGTTCATTTCAGTTGGTACATAGCGCCAATCCATGCCCCTCGTAAGTTGCTGTATTGCGGAAATCTTGTTAGACACAAACACGTTGAATTTGGATGGTTCCTCTCGCAACCAAGACAGTACCACAGTTGAATCCGACCAGCAATGGATCGGGCAGTCGAAGGTATCGATTTTCCTAATTTCGCGAAGTAAATTGGCTAACAGGAACGCTGCACATAGCTCAAGCTTAGGCACCGTGAGGGTTTTCAATGGTGCAACTCTAGCCTTCGAGCAAAGCAAATGTACCACATCGGCGGTATCCCTAAACGAACGAGCGTAGATACAAGCCCCATAGGCCTGGAGGCTGGCATCACAAAAGGCATGCAACTCAAACCTTGCCTTAGGTTGAAGTATATAACGCGAAAATGTAGCGTTACCCACAGTAGCGAAGTCCTTGCAAAACTCAGTCCAAGCCGATTCCAGTGGCTGAGGAAGACTTTCATCCCAATGCAGCTTGTCTCTCCACATGCGCTGCATGATGATTTTCGCTCTGGTCAATGTGGGTCCAATCAATCCCATAGGATCATAGCACCGTGCAATGGTTGACAACACCGAACGCTTAGTGTGCTTGCCAACACCGATTTGAGGTGCAAAAGTAAACAGGAACTTGTCCCTCTGGGGTTCCCAGATGAGTCCAAGCGCCTTGGTCACATCGCTGCCATCATCGAGCTTCAGAAAACTTTCCCTTTCTGCCTCAGGGACTTCACGAAGAACATCAGGAGAGTTTGAACACCATTTCCTTAACTGAAAATTGCCACAAGCAAGAAGCTCCGTGGTTTGACGCATAATATCCAGCACTTCCTCGACTGAATTTCCTCCAGAAATCATATCGTCTACGTAGAAGTCCTGTAGAATGGTTTCCGAACCCAATGGATACGAAGACGACTCATCCATGGCCAGCTGATGCATAGCTCGAATAGCTAAAAACGATGCAGGCTTAGTCCCATAGGTGACGGTGTTTAGCTTGAAGATCTTTATATCGTCGTCAACAGAGTCCCTCCACAAGATGCATTGGAGCATGGTGTCGGGCATTGAGACACGCACGCACCTATACATCTTACCGATATCGCCTGTAAGAGCAATGGAAAATGTACGAAATCGAAGGAGAGTGTGAAACAGCTTGGATTGAATGGTGGGACCTGACATAAGCAGATCATTCAACGAGAGACCAGATGTGGTAACTGCAGAGCCGTCGAATACGACTCTCAGCTTTGTCGTGGAGCTATCCTCTTTAATGATGCAATGATGCGGCAAGAAATATCTGCACTTGTGTCTATCTTCATTTGGAACCAGAGACATATGATCAAGGGACAGGTACTCCTTCATAAATGCCGAATATTTCGAATATAAAACTGGATTACGCACGAACTTGCGCTCCAAATTTTCCAACCGCCGCTTTGCTTGCAAGTAGGAATCGCCCAAGGACTCCAGACTTCGCTTCATGGGCAAGCTAACAGAATATTCTCCTGAGGGTAATCGAGTGTGATGTTTGACAAAGTGGTCCTCGCAGTGCAGCTCCTCCTTTGTTGCCCTAACGATTGGCTCAAAGATGTGCTCCACTTCCCAAAATTGACGAACCAACTCATCGAGCCGAGTGCTGTGATTGATGTCATCCGAAGATTGGGTTGCGATGAACGACGAGTTATTGAGGGCCGAGTGCCCGCCACCAGAAAGAATCCATCCTAGATGTGTCTTCTGCAGCCACGGTAGTCCAGGCGCCAGCTGAATTTGCCCCACACACAGCAACTCGAAGAAAAGTCCGGCTCCGATGAGCAGGTCAATCCGCTGTGGCTTATGGAACGAAGGGTCAGCAAGCTGGATATTCGACGGTATAGGCCAACTAGCAGTGCTAACTGTGATGCTAGGTTGATGGTCCGTGATCTTCTGGGCAACGACGGCAGTGATGCTAGTGGTGAACTCTGAAATCCGCGATTTCAGAACGAGATCCACCGAGATACCTTCTGTTGGGAAGCTAGCATCTCCTATGCCAGAGACAGCGGTAAGCGATTTGGTTGTTCGAAGTTTTAGCTGATTAGCTAGACGACTAGTTATGAAATGCAATTGCGATCCCGAATCCAAAAATGCGCTACAGGGTACGAAAGTTCGAACGCTGTTTTTTACAAGAACGACGGCAGTGGCTAAAAGCACAGCATCAGATGGACTGTGGGACATAAAGGCTTGAGGCAAGGAGGGCGATACTGCAACCATGGCGTTACGACTTGGTTGTGCTGGTGAGGCTTCAATTGGAGGAACAGATTGGGCAGCCTCTGTTGGACAAATGAAATGCAAAAGCGTGTGGTGCTTCGATCGGCAAGTGCGGCAGGGACCTGATCTACAATCTCTCAATTGATGGCCTTTTCGTAGGCAATTTAGGCATAGCAAGAGCCTCTTGGCTTCCAGGCGACGATCATTCGGCGATAGAATTGCAAACCGTTGACAATTGGCAATCATGTGATGAGTACTCTCGCACAGTTCACAAGAAACTGGAGCGTTCGATGCTACAAATGTCTTTCTTTAATGCGTACTCACGGTTTTTCCGGACTTGCCAACCTGACCATCTTGTCCTTGTCCTTGATCCACATTTTCAAGCGTGCGACATCTTTTTCCAAGAATCCAGACAGTTTCTCCCAAGATGGCAGCTCTTGATTCGACGAAGACTCCTCCCATCTATTTTGAGAGGCTTTGTCCAGCTTCTGAAGAACAGTCTGCACGATAATGCAATCCGCCACTTCTTCCTTGCTTGCAAGCGACTCCATAGCACGAATATGCGATGTAACTCTGTCGGTCAATTCCCTCAATCTGCCCACCGATGCGTCAGCCTTCTCCAACCCAAATATCCCTCTGATGTGTGCCTGCAAAATAAAACGTTTATTATCAAAGCGTCGCTTCAGAATGTCTAATGCTATGATATAATTAGCTTCATTTATTTCCAACGAGCTGATGGTATTCAGGGCTGCGCCACTCAAGCAGGAACGTAGATGCTGCAGCTTTTCGATAGGGCTCAGCTCAGACTCCTTGTCAATAATCGCGGTGAACATTGAGAAGAAATTGGCCCACTCCGTATAAATTCCACTGAATTTGGGCAGCTCCAGATGAGGTAACCGAGATCGATTAGACATTATGACGATTGACTGCGATTCACTAGAGTTGGAGTTGAATATGGAACAATGCTTATTGCTCGAGCGACTTCCAAGCTCGCGCTGAAGAATGGTCCTCAACGACAATATCGACGAGTCGAATTTGGCAGGAATTTCACTGGACATTGACTCGAAATCCAAATCCTCCAAACTGGTGTGTGCCACAACAAAATTTGACTTAAGCTCCGTCAATGATTCCAACAGCCCTCGCAAGTCGTATTCATCCATTTGACGCAACTTTTTACTATCCATATCTGTGCGTATGGACTCTAGCCGATCGAAAATAGCTCTAGCCTTCAGTCTCATGAAGGAAATACGAGATACCGGAACAGGGACTTGGGTGCTGGCTGCATTCGCACTAAAACTTTCGCCCGATGGAGCAGCGCCAAATGTCACAGAATCACTTTCATTGTCCATAGCAAACGATCCACTCTTTCTGCTATTCTTTTTCTTGCCCATGGTTTTGGTTATAGAAAACGGTTGACGCGGAGGGTGCTAGTCGATCACAATTAAATATTATTACGCAACGCGCGAGTTCAAACGAGTTCAAAGCGAGTTCAAACACCTTTGCGTTCACTTTTTTGGCACTTATATATACGATAGGTATGCACCGGTAAAAGCAACGAAGCGACGACGGAAAACCAACAATTATGCAAAGAGAGATGTACTCTGCTTTCGAGTTCGAATTTCAGAGAGTTATTACTGCAGCCTCTCACAAGAGCTGGCTGAAGCAAACGACCAAAGAGGAGGCGAAGAAAACTAACGGACCACGCTTAGAACTCTATGCAGCCAGTCTCGACAGTGCGTTGCGCAGGCTGAAGCAGACGGTGAAAGAGAATACGAAAACGAATAGCGGGCCGCTAGAACTGCTAAGGTCGGTCACAACGACTTTTGGTTCGCTACTTTTTCACAAATGTCACGTTAAACCTTCAAATTTGGATTGATTGAATGGTTTAAACACTTTTAACGCACTGTAAGTCCACGGCAATCACGTCGGGGTCACCAAAATGTTGGAAGCTGCCGAGCTTTTTCGGCAACTCTGACTCCACATTTACAATAATTTACTCCGTTGGTTAAGTTTACAAATGGTTTTTATTTTCACGACGGGTTACAAATGGTTTGAGGCCGTGGCCGTGAACTACGACTCGATGCGATGCGTTCGACGAATCTTTGGACTGAACCGAGAACAGGGCGAAGCAATGCACTATAAGCAGTACTGGCATATGTGCGTGTGTACGGGAGCGTACTGAGAGAGCGACAAGTATAAGCAGTATAAGAGATGATGTATGACTATATGATATTAAGAAGAACTATTATCGGCTGCTGCTCCGAACAATAATAATAACACGGATCTTTCCCTACACTGGTGCCACAATGTATTAATTCATTACTCATTACAACAATTTTTAATAACATTGCTGAAACCATTTGCTAAAAAATTGTGTCTTTTTTTTTCGCTGGGTGTAAGTTGGTTGAATTCGTAAATGTTTGCACTGAATTAAAAAACTCAAACCGCAATTATTATTACTATAATAAATAAGTTATTTCAAACTTTTATTATGGTATTCCATTTAAATAAATCTCTTATATTTTATTTTTAGCTCACGCTGCAGCTGGCACTGTCTTATCTATGTGAACACGCGTTAAATTTAACACGCCTCAATGCTGATATGATGTACCTTCATCAGGACTCTGGACTTATGAACATTTCATATTTTAAGTTCGATGTTAATGATGAAAAATGTCAGCTTAATCAACATAGACCAGTGCCTTTCCGACTAACTCCAAATATTGGAGAGTTTATCACCAATTTTGGAATTTCGGGACCTTTGTCAGCAGCGATTGTGGCTACAGCTCGTTGTTTTATTCAACCAAATTATAAACTTAGCTCGATATTACAAACTATTTTAAGAGATGAAATAATCGCTTTGCAAAAAAAAGTCTTTCGAGAATGTAAATTAGTTGAGGGAGCAGAAGATCGTCGTTCCGAAGCTAACAATATGGAACATACAGTTAGCGTCGTCAACTCTGCGGTGGATGTTATTTTGGTCCGATTTAATAAAATTTCATATTTTGATAGCATTGAAATTAAGAAAATATCTATGTTAATACAATCTGCCACAAACATCGATAATCTTTGTCGCATGGATCCCGCCTGGCATCCCTGGTTGTAAGACATGTATTGTAAGCTTATATTTTTTGGATTAAATTCTGTATATTAAGTAAGTAAATATATTTGTAAACCAAACAGAAAACAAAAAAAAATAAATGATTCAAAATCGCGTCTAGAGTCCCATCTGCACAAAACATTTTCATTTAATCCAGAAAATGCTGACAAAAGTTTTGTGGCATAATATGCCATTATGCGCGCATTCAAAAATGATATAATCATTTAAGTATACATAAATATTAAGGCAAATAATGGTTTTTGTAGACATAAGATAAGCAGTAGCGGAAATGCATTTACGAAAGTATATGTGTAAAAATCTGGCGTCACGGTTTCTGTGGTTCAATTCACCCGAAACGCCTAACCCGATTTTCATAAATTTTTCTTTTTTTTTTGTCTGGACGTTGATATGCAATGACTGCACTATCAAGTGGCCCATGCGACACCAAGCCGAATCCGGTTTCGCGCGGAACCCAGGCAGAAACGCAGCCCTCCTCCCGCCCAACCGACCGAGGGGCGCTGCCGCATGACGCGCGACGCGTGTTACCGAACCGATCGCGAGCATGCAGGAAAGATAGGTGTTAGACTAAAATTCGAGGAGCTAAACACACCTCAAAGAGCTAAACATGCAAAGATAGCTAAGAAATAGAGCTAATTACGGGAAAGGTATGTTAGTATTAGTGATTTAAGAAGAGGAAGGGAATTATTAGTGGATATTATGTGGTAGAGGGAATTGAAGTCCGAGCAAAGGACCCTAAATGGTTCGTGCAAGGAATAATTTGATCTACAAAGCGGAAGGAACAAAGGAATGAAGTTTCTAGTAGATCTAATAGGAATCGTAAAGTTTATGCGGCTGAACAAGTCAGGACTATCTATGTCACCCTTGATCAGGTTGTGCATAAAAATCACACCAAGCATTTTTCTACGACTAACTAAGGTTGGAAGGTTTATTAAAAGCAATCTACGAGGGTAAGATGGCAGTCTCACACCTGCATCCCAGTTAAGGCCACGCAGAGCTAAAAGTAAAAAGTTTTTCTGGACTGATTCTATACGGTCCTGGTGTACTTTGTACTGGGGGTACCATACACAAGAGCCGTACTCTAAAATCGGACGAACAAGCGAGATGTACAGAGTCTTCGTTATTTAGGGGTCGTCGAATCCCTTTGACCACCTCTTTATAAACCCAAGCACACCCATGGCCTTATTTACCATGGTAGAAAACTTTAACTTTGGGTCTAATTTAACACCAAGATCATCAACCAAGGTAATTCTCTCAAGAGAACCACCGCAGAGGCTATATGGAGCCAAAACGGGGCTGGAGCGATGAAATTTCATTACTTTGCATTTCGAGGCATTTAGGTGTAAAATATTTGCACAACACCATGACTGAAAGTTATTGAGATCGGATTGCAAGCGAGACTGAAATGAAATGTTCTTATACTGGACACAAAGTTTAACATCATCCGCATACATGAGTACTCGAGAGTTTGTTAATAATGAAGGCGGATCATTAATAAAGAGTGTGAATAGTAGGGGGCCTAGATGGCTGCCCTGTGGTACTCCAGAAGTAACCTTAACAGGTGAAGAGAAGGAGTTTTTGAAGAGGAGGACTCTTTGAGACCTAGAACGAAGGTAGCTAGAAATCCGTCTCAAAAGATTAGGCGGAAGCCCTAAAAGGTCAAGTTTTCGTGCTAAAAGGGAATGGTTTACAGAATCGAATGCTTTACTGAAATCAGTGTAAATGACATCCGTCTGCAAGTTACCTTGAAAGCCTTTAATGATAAAAGAGGTAAACTCTAATAAATTTGTGGTTGTTGATCGTCGCCTTATAAATCCGTGCTGGGACGGAGATATAAGTGATTTGCAAAGATGTTGCAAATGCGGAGTTAAAATTTTTTCAAACA